ACCCTCCCCTCGCATCCTAGCCCCGCCAATAGTTGCTTCGACATGCACCACATCCCAAAACGACCTTCACCTATTACTCTGCTCTAATAGCACTCAGCGCCCCTTCATCCCTCTGTCCGCTTACATATGACCATCTACTTATGTAACCGTGTACCTTGCAGCCGTCGTCCTGCACCCACCCTTGCACCCTCGTCACTAAACCCCCCTGTCTGCAATCCCACGCCAGCCCTTGCAAGTGCTCCCTCGCTCTGCCTTTCTTTTCCCACCATCCACCACACGCGGCTTCTCTGACAAAAAAGCACTCGAGAGATGCAGTCGTGTCCACAATGGGCATACACGCATCTCACCATCCCGTCTTGTATGCAATTTCTTCGTGCATCCACGCTACACACTAATACGACACGGTTCGACGTTGCTAGCTGCCCCGTCGGACCGAGTCCGATAGGCTTTGGCAAGCACATCCTTGGGCACCAACAACCATGCTCCTCATGCTGCAAACAAGTGCATTGCCGATACGTTTCGGCCGTCCAGAGCGCAACACAATGCAAAATATAGTCTTCACAGTCTTAATATTCGCACTGCATCCCCATTTGAGCTTCCGGCGGAGCCCAAGCCTAGCCCCGTCGTCGCCTCAGCCAGGACCGCCTCACCTAATCCGTCCAGAACCTGTCATCCCTTGGCGAGTGGGATACTCCGTATCCAAGCATGCCCATCGTAGTCTCAGCGAATCATACTCCTGGTGTAGATCTCATCTTGCGCTCGAGGTAAGCTATAGATGACAGTTTCATGTTACGGACATCGGCCTTGGTGAACAGCACAAGCCGGCGTACACCGACGCAGACGCATCAAGCCAAACATGCATATTCGAATCCATATTGGGCCGTTGCAATAATCTCCGTGGCGATCAATCTGGCGGGGGGTGCCCAGCATTCCGCGCTTTCCCGGCTTTCCCACCATCTCCCCGCCAAACGTCCGTGGGTCTGATTCGTCAGAGCTTCTATTAACCCCCCTCTCCCTTGATATCAACACAACCGCTGCTGCTGCACCCCAATGAGTATACATCGTGCACTCAGCCTTTGTTCATTGCCAACCATAAGGGAACTGGCCCGCGCGTGAGACTCGTCGTCTCATCACTACGCACGCGACAAACATCGCTCTCGGTTTCGTAAAGTCTCAACTTGTTGCGCGTCACGCCAAAGCACTAATCACTGGGTCCCCCTCAAGTAAACACCATGTTACCATTGCTACGGGGGTTTTTCCCTATAGTCACTACTCTCCCTTTGACTTGGCTTGTTGCTAGAGGATAATCATTACTCTCCCTTGGCTACCTCTCTTCTCCGCAATCTGACGGGGCTCCGCGGGGCACTGCGCTCTATCATGTATTGGCGGAGTTTCGTCCGACATGGAAAAAGTTACCAGGAACTTAATCGCTCTCTTGTCGTCACACATCACAATAGTCATCTGTAGTACCGAACTTCAGGGGGACGCCCGTCTGGTATTGCCTCCAACACCTCCAACTTCCCATGTGCGTCCAAAGTATGTGCGTAGCTAAGAACGTGGCTTAGCCCCCCAAGCCGTGCTACCAAACAGGCAATCTTGTGCGTCGGCCAACCTCCGATATCAGGTACGCTGCACGTCAAGGCCAGCTAATAGCTTCTAGCGCATCTTAGCGCATTTCCCGTAGGTCAAGTATAGCTGAGCAGACCCTCGCAACGCATGGAAAAAAAGCAAACAATCCGATCGACTTCGGTGCAGGTCCAGATGGGCAATTATCTCAAATACTATGAATGGATCCTGTGCCTGTTAGCTACTCCTCGTGCCTTCTAGACCCCACTCTCCTCCCAGGTGTATTACTGATCGGACCAGCCATCATCGCTGGGTCCTTATCGATACCAGCTATACGTCATGACACCTGCCAGTGGTAACAAATGTAGAGTGCCGGAGATCCATTGAAAGCCACAACCATACCCCAGGTTTAGGGTGTTTGACTGCATTCTGTGGGCAACTAGCGGGAAGATGGGGGAGGGGGAGGGTCAGCAGGAGTCGGCAGCGCGCCCTACGTGTATTCCTGATGAGTCACCCCAACCAGGGCAGGTGCATATCACAAATGTTTTCCAGAGCACATCGGATTGCTTCCATCACATCTGCCACACAGTGCCTACGTCGCCACCTCCTTGCATAATGGCAACAAGCACTGAGCTCGACTTTGTCACCTTAGACGTCTTCACCTCCAAGCCATACCAAGGCAACCCGCTAGCCATTGTGCGCATACCTAGCAGCCGCACACTAACTCAGGAACAGAAGCAGGCCATTGCACGAGAATTCAACCTTTCCGAAACAACTTTCCTGCATGAGAATGCGGAGGGTGAAGCCAATCTAGCATGGACCGTGGACATCTTCATGACATCGCGGGAACTACCGTTCGCAGGACACCCCACAGTGGGTACGGCGTGCTACGTCCTAGGACGAACTGCTCAGGCTCAGGGCCTGGACCATGGCGTCATCGAGGCTGCCTTCAGCTTGAAATCTGGACCGGTACGGCTACAATACGACGTGGCCAAGAAGACGGCCAAGGCTTCGATACCTCACGATGTGTACGTTTTTGATTCCCTTATTTACGTTTGTTGTCAGGTCTGTGTTTGCGAATTTGGAATTTCGGTTTATTCAACCCGATCCGAGTGGTGGCGATGCTATCTTGAATCTTCGTTCAATGCTGTGCTCTGTCTGTCTTTTTAGTTGACAAATGCAAACTCGAGTGCGCTCCATGCAGGCTGACCAGTACAGACACGTTCATGAAAAGAGATATACCAACGAGATGCTCTTCAAAGTACAGCCTCAGTTGGCAGAAGCTCATAGCCAGGGCAAGATCAAAGTAAAGAATGACTTCCCCATAGTTTCCATTGTCAAAGGCATGACGTTTGTTCTGGTTGAGCTGGAGAGCGTCGAGGCCTTGGCCGTGGTGTCGTTGGCTGGCCAATCCCTTGCGATCAATGGCCTGGATGAAGGTTGGGATGAGACCTTTGTTGGCATGTATTTTTTTGTTCGAGTGGCAAACAAGGACCAAGGAGTGACGGCACTGAGGACGCGGATGATCGAGGGTCCGTTGGAAGATCCAGCTACTGGAAGTGCTGCCAGTGATCTGGCAGCCTATCTCTCACTGACCGAATGTGAAGCCAACAAGACGTTCCAGTACGAGATCGTGCAAGGCGTAGAGATGGGGAGGCGTAGCGAGATTCTCATCGATGTCGACATGAATGAAAACGGGTCTATTTCGGAGGTCCGTCTCGAAGGTGGCGCGGTTCAGGTTATGAAGGGGCAAGTGGTTGTCTGAAATCGCAAAGGTAGCGTCTTCTAGATCATGGTAGAGCATTCGACAATTCCAAGGCATGGATATTCGCAGTTCCGAAGAATAACGCGTGGCTAGAGTCTAAGACAACAAGCGCAGTCGAAATTATTCAGCAAGGGATCGCGCCAGCCTTCCACCTTTTTCCCCCCAGCCAACGTCACCAGCCTGCTTCAGAGTAATCCAACTTGAGTTGTTTTTGTGCAAGTCCGTTACAGATGTAGATCTATCGTGCCTGAAAACCCACCTTGCCTCAGGCCCGCCGAGGGACCCATTGAAGCCGATCCGCATGGGGTAATTTACGTTGATTCAGTAATCTTCCCCAAGGTACACACCAAACGCATTGTGCGGGTTCAACGCAACGCGTGTCAGCTTTTCGTTTCCGAAGAGGGCACGTTTTGCCAATGCGGGAGCAACGGGTACCTGTTCCCTTGGAAAAGTCTTGGGTCGAGCCTCAGAAAGATACAACCAAGACTTTGTGTATACGCGAGCACGGAGGATTTCAAGAAACAAGAATTACGCTGATACGGGTGCGGCGATGGTTGCATCCACTGCGGAGCCTGCAAGTTGTTGGTGGGCGATGCAAGAGCAGGAAGGGTGGGTTAGCGCCTTGGATAATACCTGCTGATAACAGGGCAGAGATATTGCACACGGGCTTTGCTTTTGCCGCCATTGTCGAGTGCTGGTGTGTGCATGTGTGCAAAGTGCGACTCAGGTCACACTTGAGCGCTGCGGAGTGCCTGTTTTCGGCCTTGGGGCCTTCCGCCTGTCACCTGTGGCGACCGTTGTTGACAGATGACGACAATGTCAACTAGCCTTGTCAATAATGCACGAATCACACATCACACACCACAGTGTGGTAGTGAGGCTCGACGAGGAGGAGGCATGGGTCACATATTCGTGGCGGAGGGGCTACAACTAATTTCCGCAAGGCTAGTTACGACGCTGGTGAAAGCTATAGGGATCTATTACACATTCCTGCGGCGCACTCGGTTACCGTTGAATACGCAGTCAAAGCATTATATGGGGTATACTACAATATGCTCGAAAACGAGGAGGATCGGCAAAAGTGCCTGGCGCCATGCAGCGTCAAGCCCAATGAGGCAGGGCCGTAGCCGAATGCGGCTAGCGGGAACAACCTTCGCGGCACTCTGTGCTTTACATGGCCAACCTCTAACACCATCCGTTTCTCGCGTCTCCTCCTCAATGCCTGGCGCATTCCTGTATCGGCGTGGCTGCCACAACAGCCTCAGTCAATTGCGCCCCGTGCGTGAGCCCATGTTTGCCGGAGTATGTGGGTGTGAGACATGTCTGCCTTCATCGCGGGTTTCATGCCCAAGGAACGAGGAGCCGCCTTGCCAGGTTGTTTTTGCTGTCCTTAGCCTATGGACATCGCCAAGCACTTAAGGGACCTTTTCCTCGACAAGTATTTGACTTCTTGCCATCATCAGTCGCTTGTTTTTTCTCACAATCCGGTTCTGCAGTTGAGGGTTACATTCCTTTCTCTTCCTCTTAATTATTTTCTACCAGATTACGTTGAACGTATCTGTCTCTTCTTCTCTGCTCCCTATTGTAATCCACCGCCAGTCGGATCGCCACTCCTTATAACCCTTTTTTATCTTCTTCCTCACTCCAGATCTCACTTCAAGACTTCAACATGCGGTTCTCGACTCTCGTCCCCCTTCTCCTCGCGGCAGGTGTCGCCAATGCCCAGTTTGGTGGACAGGGCGGTGGCCAGAACAATGGACAAAACAACGGCCAGAACAATGGACAAAACAACGGCCAGAACAATGGACAAAACAACGGCCAGAACAATGGACAAAACAACGGCCAGAATAACGGACAGAACAATGGTCAGAACAACGGCCAGAATAACAACGGCGGCAACAACGGTGGCAACAACAACGCACTCTGCCTCAACGCGGACAATGTTCAGGATGCCAGTAAATCCAACGGACTTGGAGGTCAAGCGGAGGCCGGACAGGCTCCTTCCAACACGTAAGTTTTCATACCCACAATTCCCTGTGTCTATAGTACTAACATCACCAGCGATGATGCCAACTTTATCAACTTCTGTCAAGGCAAGACCAAGACCAACGGTCTTCAGGTCCGTGAGGGTTCTTGTAACGGCATTGGTCAGTGTGCTCTATTCCTCATGTCTGCATCATTTTCTAACCATTACACAGTCTATGGAGATATCCCTTCTGTCGATAACATGATCTCAACTGTCTTTACCAACCCCAAGAATGGTGACACTATTCAGGCCAACCAGGCAATCACATTCTCCGTCAAGACCAACAATCTGGTAGCTGGCTCGTTTACGAACCCTGACAACACCTATTACGCTGCTCCCCAGACTCTGCAGGGCGGAAATATTGTTGGCCACACGCACATCACTGTCCAGGACCTGAATAACGACATCAACACCGCGAACCCTCCTGACCCAAAGGTGTTTGCTTTCTTCAAGGGTGTCAACACCGCTGCCAACGGCCAGGGTGAACTCACCGCCGACCTTGCTGATGGTCTTCCTGATGGCGTCTACCGTGCCTGCACTCTTACCTCATCCAGCAACCATGCGCCTGTTATCATGCCCGTTGCTCAGCGTGGTGGCCAGGATGACTGTGTAAGGTTCACCGTCGGCGGCAATGGCGGCAACAACAACGGTCAGAACAACGGTGGCAACAACAACGGCCAGAACAATGGACAAAACAACGGCCAGAACAACGGACAGAACAACGGACAGAACAACGGTCAGAACAACGGTCAGAACGGCGGCCAGGGTCAAGGAGGACAGGGCGGTCAGGGAGGCCAAGGTGGTCAGGGCGGTCAAGGTGGCTTCGGTGGACGTCGTGGCCGCGGTCGTGGCCGCTTCTCCCGCCGCCACTACATCGCATAAACGGCTCCATCCATACCCACACGCCAGGCGGATTTGACGAGAGTGTAGAAGTAACGCATGATTAGGGGAGGTTGGTAACAACACAGTGAGGCTTGGAGTCTAAGAGCGGTTATACGCCGCTATAATGGATGGCTTTTTTATTCTTGAAATCCCACAACAGGAACCAAATTTTTTATCCATTGGTTAAGTTTTAAAACAATCACACAGAAACAGCATACATACACACATATGGGAATGATGGTTTGAGGGGGGGGGTAGGGAGCAAAGGGTAGGGTGCAAAGGAAGAGGAAGAGATAGAGAGAGGGAATGTCAATGCTCTACGGAGATTGAAGCAAAAGCGCTTCATTGGACTGGTTCTAAAGGTTGCGCGAGCGAGCGAGAGAGAAGTCTTTTTTCTTTGTTTTATTCTTCTTTGTTTCTTCATCCTGTTTCCCTTTGCGCCCTATGTAGCTCTTTTTGTATCCCTCCCCCTTCAAATATCCCACTGCCCTATGCGAATTGATGAAATGTAGAATCATACCACTTTATTTTTTCCTTCCTTCCTTCCCTTCGCCACTTTCCTATAGTGACAACAATAACGTTACGTCAAGTCTGTCAAAGAACGGGGGGGGGGCAGACTTTTCTGACAGAATTGACACACACATACACACAACAACAATAGCCCTAGCTTTACTATTGTTAGGGTTCCAGTTACTACTAGTCAAAAAACCTCCCGTTTTTCCTCGGCGCATAAATTTCCACCTTAGCACACTATTCATAAATCCGACCGAAACGTAGTATGCGTCGCACTATGACGAACGCAGACATGACAAAACCTGGATGGCGATCAGGCAGGAAGGTGTTGCAGCATATGTATCGCGACAACCTCCTACACTTTACCCGGCATGGCTAATAGCATCGTTCGGGCTGAGGACGTTCCGATGCAGGGCAACCTCTGATTGCGTTATTTCTCTGGGTTTGGGGGGGTTGAGATGATGATGATGGGAAAGGGAGGGAGTGGGTTGGCAGGGTGTGTGTGTCTCGGGGTGAAACTGGGTTGGGTGTAGGTAGGCGCTGGGTTTTGGATGAACGACATAGCCGAGGGGGAAGGGGGGGGGGGGCAGATCGAGATTTGGCAACGTACGGACTTTATGATTTTATCTTGCGCTTATGATTTATAGCAATGAAGGATTGGGAATTTATGATGTGCGAAGGGGCTTTTTTTGCTTTTGTTTTGGTAGGGTTTTGCGGGTGCTCTGATGAGGGTACTTACTAAACCTGTTTCTCACAAAGTGGTGGTTCTTTGCTGAGGCTATTGGACGAACATGACACATTGCTGTCCATGTGTGTTCTAGTATGTACATTTTGTGTATTGAGAAATGGAATAAAATCACGTCAGCCCATACGCATCTATTATGGACTTTGGATTTGGGGAAGTGATAAATTCAAGTTCTTGGTGTGTTCAAAAGAACCAGACCGTCATCACATTCCATGGCAATGGAATCATTGTGCAACTTGGTGAACATGCCATTCGCACAATGCATTTTATTTTACGAAGTAATCGTCTTTGCAGAAGCCATGCGCTGAGCCATCAGACTGAATACAGCAACAGAAGAAATGAAAATGGCGAGGTTGTAGAACTGTAGTATCAATCAGCTCAACAATTGAGGCCTATCGCGTGCCTGAGCAAGAACATACAGCCTTTCTGGAGTACGCGCTCTCTTCGGCTTCGCTACGCGCGTCGACAAAGAGCCGACGTAGATTTGGCAAATTAGAAGGCTATCAGTCTGCATCAGAACCATGACCTAGAGTAACTATTCCCCTTGTCAACTCACCATAATGATCCTCCTGTGATAGCGGAGTGACGGCGACGGCGAAAGCATCGAAGCGTTGGGCTAGATGCCATCCCAACGCACGGGCCTTATCATCAAGGTGGCAGTCGCGAAGCTCCACCAACATTGTCCCTTTAGCAATTCACTCCCCCGCGACGCCACTCGACTTTGAAAGACGACAATTTCCCGACTGCTGTGTCCAGAACGATCAGGGAATCTGAATCACGACACCCGCCTCGAATCGACCGTCTACGAACATTCACATCTGAACGAACCGCAATCGGAGGGGTTTGGCTTATTAGGCTGAGCAATCGGCTGCTGCGTTTCTTACAACAAATATGGCTGTCAATAGGATAAGGGGTGCATTTGCGCCGCCGCGCAAGGGAGAAACATTCGAGTTGCGGGCAGGTCTGGTGTACGCTTTTACCCCAGGCACAAGTACAGCTGTTCACAACTGACGATTGCCTCTAGTTCCCAATATGCCTACGAACGGTGAGCGCCCGGTACCACGATGGATAGTAAAAAGGCTAGCAAAGCACTAAGACTGTCGCAGAAAAGAGGCCATTCAAAAGACCATCATGTCAATGACGCTCGGCAAGGATGTGTCTGCGCTGTTTCCTGATGTACTGAAGAATATCGCAACCGCCGACTTGGACCAGAAGAAGCTGGTATATCTATACCTCATGTGCGTGCATTCGACGCCGGGGGTACTACCAAGATACTGATTCTGTGCCTCAGGAACTATGCCAAATCACACCCCGACCTCTGTATTCTCGCCGTGAATACCTTTGTTCAAGACTCGGAAGACCCGAATCCCCTCATACGAGCGTTGGCGATACGGACAATGGGATGTATTCGCGTTGATAAGATGACGGACTACATGGAAGAGCCCTTGCGGAAAACGCTGAGAGACGAATCGCCATATGTACGAAAGACCGCAGCGCTATGTGTGGCTAAGCTGTTCGATCTTGCTCCCGCCATGTGCATTGAGAATGGCTTCCTCGAGCAGCTCCAGGAACTAGTCGGAGACCCAAATCCTATGGTCGTCGCAAACTCGGTTACAGCCTTGGTGGAAATTCAGGAGACCGCCCCGGAAACCAAGGCTCTCGTCATTACCTCGTCACAACTCAAGAAGATGCTTCTGGCCTTGAACGAGTGCACAGAGTGGGGTCGTGTGACTTTGCTCACCACTCTGGCAGACTACAAGGCAGCGGATATCAAGGAGGCAGAGCACATTTGCGAAAGGGTTGTCCCGCAGTTCCAGCATGTAAATCCCAGTGTGGTGCTGGCAGCCGTCAAGGTCGTCTTCTTGCACATGAAGCATATCTCACCTGAGATGATGAAGTCGTACCAGAAGAAGATGGCACCGCCGCTAGGTGCGTATTGAATTTGAGAAATCATGTGATCGCTGCTGATATACTACAGTTACACTCGTGTCGTCTGCACCAGAAGTACAGTACGTTGCACTACGGAACATTGACCTCCTCCTTCAGAAGCAGCCCGACATTCTCAGCAAGGAAATGCGTGTTTTCTTTTGCAAATACAACGACCCGCCATACTTGAAGATGCAAAAGCTTGAAATCATGGTGCGGATAGCAAACGATAAGAACGTGGATCAACTACTGGCCGAGTTGAAGGAGTACGCTATGGAGGTGGACATGGACTTTGTGCGACGAGCCGTCAAGGCCATTGGACAAGTTGCCATCAAGATCGAAAGCGCGAGCGAGAAGTGCGTCAACACACTGCTCGACCTTATCAACACCAAGGTCAACTATGTCGTCCAGGAGGCGATTGTTGTCATCAAGGACATATTCCGAAAGTATCCTGGATACGAGGGTATAATACCGACACTCTGCCAGTGCATAGACGAGCTGGATGAGCCGAATGCACGGGCTTCTCTCATCTGGATTGTTGGAGAGTATGCAGAGAAGATCAACAACGCTGGCGAGATTCTATCAAATTTCGTTGACACATTTGCTGAAGAGTTCACTCAGGTAAGTTTTGGTGATACGTCTGCGCGGGCAAAGCTAACAGTGTCCAGACACAACTTCAGATCCTCACAGCTGTCGTCAAGCTGTTCTTGAAGAAGCCAGATCAAGCACAGGGCTTAGTCACAAAGGTCCTACAAGCCGCTACAGCAGACAATGACAACCCAGATATCCGGGACAGAGCTTATGTCTACTGGCGGCTGCTTTCCAGTGACCCACAGATAACAAAGGTATGCAATTTTTGAAATATGGGGTTTGGACAACTACTGACTTAATCAGGAAATTGTACTCTCAGACAAGCCTCCGATTACATCGACAATACGGTCACTGCCTCCCCAACTGCTGGAGAACCTGCTTGCAGAGCTGTCGACTTTGGCGTCAGTTTACCACAAGCCACCAGAGGCCTTCCTTGGACAGGGCAGGTTCGGCGCGGAGGCGATGCAACGAGCGGCAATCGAGGAGCAGCAAGAAGAAGCACGGGAGAATCCCATTGCCGCAGCTGCAGCTGCCGCCGCAGCTAGTGGACAAGCGCCCACTAACGTGGAGAATCTCCTGGACATTGATTTCGATGGTTCTGCACCTGCTTCGTTGCAAAAGCAGCCCACACACGGGGCGTCTGGATTGGAAGGCCTTGCCGGTACGCCTCAACGCGTATCATCACCCGTGGCAAATGCGCCTCCAGCACAATCCAATATGGATGACCTGCTAGGATTATTCGGCGATGGAGGTGGTGCACCCGCTGCTCCTGCGGGTCAAATGAGCAATAATGACATTATGAATGGATTTGCAAGCATGAGCATGGAGACGAATCAGCCGCCACCGCCAGCCCAGCAAATATCAGGTGGTGAGCAGGGTAAGAAGAGTAACCAGGATCTTCTCGACTTGTTCTAGGCTGGGTAGTGGTGTGGGTTGTACGTGTACTTGGGTTAGCGGGGGCAGGGAACAAAAAAAAGAGTAGCCTCTTGGGAAGTGTGAGTGAGTATTCCATAGGCGGCTAGCGAACATGGTTCTTATCTGTGTATGACAAAGTGTATGCAATGCATGCATGCATGCGGTAGGTTAAGGGAATGATACTACGATACTTGAGATAACAGGTAAAAAAAAGTAGTCGTGTGACCATCTCATAACCAAGCTTGCTATCATCAGCCAATTGCACTAGTCAAGCACGCAATTATACACAAGTCTTCCGCCGGGTTCCGCGTGGAGACTTGTCTTGTCTTGGCGAATGCAAGCACTTCCTCATACAAGAGAGAGGTGATGATTGGAAAGCAGACAGACCCCCATCAATCAATCAATCCATTCAAGGCCGAGAAGAGCTGAGCGTTTTACTCGCTTCTAATCAGCCAACCAACTGACTCCTATCTCAGCTTAAAGTGGACTAAGTAGTAGTACTATACACCCCCACATGAGCTGATTCCCCAAATCCAAATCTAAGCTCCTACTACTTTAAAGTTGATTTCAGCTCAATGGCTGCTTACATGCTGTTATGCTGATAGGAGCGAGCGTAACGATCTCCGCATCTCATCTGTGTAAGCTGCAACCCCCCCCCAAAACAAGTCCTAAGATTCAGCTACGGAGGGGGGTTGGAAAGATATGAATAGTAGGTACTTGGACAACACACGTTCTTACTTGGTCGGTCATTATGTCAAGTTGTTCTCGTGTGCTTTGGGTTGTTACTACGACTAGTAAGTAAGTAGATGGAGTTAATCAGCCAGGCCACCTCACCTGAGTAAGCCATGGTGGGTTGCATATGTACACAAGTGTGGTAAAGTAAGTAGCAAAGCATGCTTGTTGAGAGGTCCAGCCCCCAAGGATGAATAACGTAAGCTAAGCACTTGTCCGCGAACAGGACAAGGTCACGCCGATCCCGTTTCACATGTCAGCATTATGGTGGGCAGACAACACACACAAGAGAGAGATGGAGACTTTGGTACCAAATTGTATTGGTTGTCATGTTTTGTGAATTGTTTGATTTCATTCAACCATGACTGATTTCCATTAAGCATTACGTTAGGGTGTGTGTGATGTGGTATGAACCGCGTCCGTGCAATTGCAGACGGGTAAAAAAAAAGAAGAAGAGGAAGAGGAAGAAAAAGGAAGAAACAAAAGGCCCGTGTTAAATTCATTCCACCAGGGCCCTGTGCTTGCTCCGGTACGTGTCGGAATCCATGCGTTGATTCAACCAATGCAATCCCAGCCGTTTTCCCCCCCTTTGACCCTTATCCCAACATCATCGTCAGAAAGAGAAGAAGAAAGACCTGCCCATGGACAGATATGCCATGCGTACCAAAGGGTAAGCGGCTGAGCGGCTGAGCGCTGAAGCGAACGTGTATAAAAATGGAACTTTTCTTGTATAGAAAAAGCTGCCAATAGGAAGCGATTGACTTGGGTATCAAAAGAAAAAAGTGGGGTTACAATAAAACCACGCTCTCTGGCGCTAGAAGAAATCCACTACGAAAAAAATATCGAGTGGTTCTGAACAGGGATGCATGTCGTCATTCTACACTGTAGAGGACGCCCGTGTTTCTATACCATAATGCCCATGTTTATCCATGGAACGCTGAAATGCTGCGCAAAACAAAAAACTCCGGTCAAATGCATAGGTCGTAAAGGCCGTCACCTGGGGAGATTATTAGGTGATGTGCGAGTTTAGAGATGGGTGTAAGGTTATGAGGCGGAAGGTGTAGATGGGTGTGGCTCTAGTCTTTGCGGAGAGTGTGCTCGGTATCGGATCCGACTGTGTCTCCATCCCAGAGGCTCTGGTTGTCATCAGTAGGTGAACGAGCACCAATTGGGCTGCGACCGCCAGTAGAGTAGGATGACGATGAACCGGTAGCCCAATCATCTGAATCAGAATTGGGTGGGAACTCCTCGTAGATGTCGAGCATGCTGTAGCCAGCACGGTCCATTGGGTCGCCAATCTCGACAAAGTCGTAGTCCCAGCGGAACTCCTTGTCGGCCTGAGGGCGGGGCAGGAAGTTTGCGCGGCCGAAGAAGTAGCAGATACCGGCGACTGGAGATATCGTTAGCAAGGATTGAGACGAAAATGAAGAGTTGAAAACTCACGAAGACTGCCGGCAACCAGGTCAACGGCATAGTGGTGGGAAAAGTACATGGTCGACCACCACAGCCACATGGTGTAGAAGACATAGACTGGGAACAGCTTGGGGAAGACGTGTCCCATGAACAGGGTCTCCAAAGTAGCCCATCCAGAGTGCAGAGAGGGGAAAGCGCCAAAGACCATGGGGGAGCCAAGGAAGGCGGAAGTGTAGATGTCGATGCCGGTAAGCTTGTCAATGGCCTTGAGACCTGCAGCGTCGCCGTGAATGCTGTAGTTGGCGGGAGCCAATCCGTAGGTGTTTTCGTACCATGGCGGGGAGCATGGGAAAACAATCTGGATGAGGACGGCAGTGATGTTCATGTATCCAAAAGCACGAGCCCAAATGGGAAGGGTTCCTGGGGGACCCCAGATGAACATGCATCCGCTAACAATGACGGGCGATACGTAGTGGACAACACCGTAAGGCAACCATGCAAGGATATCAAGGACGGTGTGCTTGTGGGCAGAGAGAATATTGCTCAGGTTTGAACCGTAGAGAATGTTCTCGAGAGCGGGGAGGACGCGGACCCAAATGGCAGGTCGGTAGTCTTCGGAGATGTATCTAGACATGGTAGTCAGCACACAGAGTCACCAAAGGTTGTAGTAGGCAGTAATACGTACTTGCAGCTCGAGAAGAGGAATAGCCAGGTAAGAGTAGGAAGCAATGGGAGCAAGAATTGGCGAGTAATGGGAAGACACAAGCCCGTCATGAGCAGCGTCGCAACAAACGTCTTGGCAAAGGGCCCTGGAGCCTCGCTGACGGAGAGGGAGAAGATGGCGACAATGGCGAGGAACAGATACTGGGCGTCGTATATGGACCACGAGTGGGTGCGCAGCGAACGCAGGGTGTCCGAGGGGGAGAAGGACGTCTCGAGCGAGGCGATGGACGAGGTGACGGACTGGCGACTGCGTATACGGGACTTTGTGGCTCTCCATTTCCTGCGGACGCGGTGGGGGATAAGACTGGGCAAGGCAGCGAGGCCCGGGACGGTGGTGCGCGAGAGCATGTCTGAAGCCGTGGTGTTTTCAAGAAATGCAAGGTAGCTCTTGTTGGTCATGGTGAATAGAGGGAGGGACTCGGTCGCCTGGGGGAACGGGCTGTGGCGCAATCGGGTTGGTAGAGCGACGGGAACACACGCGACCAGAGGCAGCAGTTCGGGCGATGACGGCGGAGAAGAAGGAGGGAGAGAGGAAGAGGAAGGGGGCGTTTGGTTGGGGGCGAGCGTCGTCGAGCCTCTTGGGGGAGATTTTCTTTTTTTGTGCAAGGGGACGACGAGCTTAATGGGAGGAAGTTTGGAGCAGGCAAGCTTGTAGGCAGGGCAGGGCGGAAGAGGGCGGGCTAGAGGATTAAGAGAGGCAGGTTAGGTAGGTTAGGCAGGCACCTGGTAGGGGAAGCTCCGGATGGCTGAGGCGTGCAGGGCGCCGGGGGGTCAAATTAGGTCCGCGACTTGAGCGGCTACGACGGAGCGGGCTAGGACGAGGGTGCACCCAATCTCGTTTCCAGCCCTGGCGCCCTGCCGCCTCTGCCTATTGCTTCCAAGATTCACGCTGCTGTCCTCGATTGCCATTATGCCTGCGTGATGCGTGTTGCCGGATTGCATGCCATGGCCGACCGTGGGTGCCATGGCTGCGTAGACGAGACGGTAGTGTCATTCTATGGTACTTACACAGCCCGGGGCAGAGTAAGTAATAATTACTAGGCGTACTTACTGGTACACCACAGCTTCACAGCAGGGCAGTGTACATACATGCGCATGCATGGCGCGCCTGAAGCAACCGATGCCCTTGCAGCATCATCAGCATCAGCATCGTCCATGGCCATCCTATCGGCCATGGAACTGTACGGGACCCGTCGCTGCAACGAGGAAAGAAAAAAAAATCGTCCGTTGGCTGGCGCCAGGATGATGCGGTAATGCGCTGGACGCTACTTTAGCTCGCCATGACATCAACACACCGCCGATGATGGCAGCATGGCATGGCATGGCATCGCGGCGGAGGCTCCATCCGCCATGACCATATCATATCAACATACTCGTTAGCAGTCCACCGCTGTGCAGGCGAGCCTCACCTTGTCGCTGTGACTTGGCAGCGTCATGTTTCGTCTGCCGCCAGGAGCATCCCAGCCTTGACGATAAACACAAAGCATGTTCTTCTCCTCCACCGCTCTCGACAGTAGGCAGCCCTCTTTGTCCGACACGCCTTTCTTGGGCCGCGACAATGCCACGCCTGAAACCGCTGACTCTCCATGCCGCCCCCCTCCCCCTCCTCGCTCGCAAAAGGTCGCATTCTGATGTAGACCCTGGTTACCAATCACGCCTGCTATCCGCCGGCTCGCGCACCAAAAGGCGTCCGCTGACTGTGTTGTCCGCCTCGTCGTCTGAATAAGCGCCTCGGCACATTGTAAGATCCGCACCCGCGCATCACTCGGCCTCCGACCTGCGACCTTCGCCTAGAGCAGAGTACCATTGTCTCGTCTATCTGCTTCCTCCCCCTCCTTCTTGATGCACTGCTGCGCCCTGGTGCAATGCAGGGCGTAATCTCTTTTTTTCTTCTTGCTCCATTGCCTCCCGCCCTACTTTTGATCCCTGCATGCATCGATGCCCTTTTCGCCCGTGGGAGAGCGGACTATCGGACCACAGTTAGTCCTTCGCACGACCCTCCGACTCACCATAGTTAGCCTCACATCCAGCTTAGCGCCCTTTACAAGCCCACTACACACGGCACTATGCCAAAGGGAAAAAACCAAATGCAGACAAAACAAAACAAACAGGACCCCCATATCGCGTTCGTC